GCAACTTTGTCCTTATTAAGATTGTGCTGTGCTGATGACTGGTTGGTTTTATTCCTGTTGTCTACATCTCCACTAGACGGTATATGTGGACCTCTGGAAGAGCTCTCTCTCTTTTACCTCTCATCTGTTCCCTATCTCTGCATTTAAAATTCCTGTAAAACATTTTAGATTAACTCCACATGAAGACTAAATCAAGATATACCTTTTGATGCATCTTACTATAAAATTAATCTTGGCTTAAGTAGAAACTTTAACAAAGTTTGTATCTTCCATGCATACAAAAGTCTTTTGGAGCAGATTATTCTCTTGTCACAAATTTGATTTGGCTTTGCTTGGGGAATAAATAAGGTTTCTTCAGCCGTTCCTTTTTTACCCTTCCCTCAAATAGTAATGCATATCCTATGGGGACAGCTGTTTCCCAAATTCAGGTTTCTTCCTATGATCTGGGAAAGCACACATCCGAAATACAGACGTGTAGTGATGGCAAAGAAAGAGGTGTTGGGTTTTTGGTTTTGTTTTGTTTTCTTTTTTTAATGACAAAATCCTGTAAGTGGGAGATCTATCAGATTAATCAGATCACTCCGATGCACAAATGAAATTTAAGATCTGGAATGTACAATGACTGGGAGTCAAAACTTGCCATTTGCTTTAGAGGTGAAAATGCTAAATATTTACTAACAACTTAAAACAAGCTGAAAACCCCTCATCTCAGCCTGATGAGATATGTTAGTTTTCTTTCTGCTTTTTCATATTAACTTATGTTAGGTTATATAAGAAAAGAAAGATGTAAAAGGACAGATACTTACATAGCACTTAATTAAAAAATTGAGACAGATTTTCATCTATTAAATATATATTCCTTTTACATCTTGGTAGCTTTTTATGAAATCCAGTACTTTACCACAGCCTTGTAGTTTTGCTTTGTGTTTTATTATATTTTGCCGGAGAGGGTCTACTCCTTCAGCCTGTGAAGTTTCCTTAACTGGCACTGAAACCACTGAAATCCACAGTGTTTAGATTTAAGCATCAGTATGGCAGTGGCTGTATTACAGTTTTAGTCTACAACAGGAGCCCAAATCTAGGGGAAAAATTAAACAAAACAAAAGGCTGTTCCTTCATTAATAATTGAAAAATACTAATAACTCATGTCTTTTGGCTGTCTCATCTATAATTTCTCTGCAGATTCCTTCATTGGGATTAATATAATATTCCGAACTGCAGAGCTGCTTAAAACACACTAATGGCTTTCAAAAAGTCAGTCTAGACAGGTTTGTTGCTTTCCCTGTCCACATTTTTCTCTCCTTAAAAGATAAATCTGGTGGATTTGTGTCCGGAAACAATTCAAGTGTTTCACGTTGAAAATACTTTCTTTTTAACTTTAAGAAAAATGAGGTCTATTGATAGCTCCACGTTAGGCTTCTGCAGAGTTTTATTTTGTATAAAATATGCAACGTAACCAAATCAACTGCCTTTTTAGGCAGCTCTTCATATTTTTAAACTAAAGCTTTTCTGTGGTAATGAATGGGTTTCTGTTGTGATGAATGGTAGTACAGATTCAGTGATTTTTCTCATGTTTTGCTTCCACCGAGTGCGTGTATCTCTCATCACGCAATGTTTTATACAGACTCTGAAATGAAAACATTTCTTTGTGTACCTCAGACTCCAGATACATCTTAGAGCTGTTTTTAAGTCCCAAAATAGGCAGAAAGACTGGAAACAATATAGAAATATTTAAAAATGCATTATCAGGCAACTTTAATTTTACTCGAGCATCCTTAAAACTTTATTTTCCACCTTATAATGCAGCTACTACTCAGCTCCACATCTCTGTCATTTGTAACAGCTAAACTGTCATGACCTGCACTGTTGATCAGGCAATGTGCTTTTCAGATTCAGTCCACTTCATTTTAAAGATTTTTATTTTTATTTTTTTCTTGGTGACTGCCCATCTCCAGGGCATTGCTACCTTGTCAGAGGAGTTCCCTTCATGCCCAACCCACACTGGCCCTGCTTTGTCTTTGGGCCTCATTGTCTGTTAGGTGCCTCACCCATCTTCCTGGAGACCTCTGAGGACTCTGAAATCAATCCAGATAAGGAATTTCATGTTGGAGCAGATGACTGACCTCTGAAGAAGTGCTGAGCTGCGAGGTTCCTATCGGGGTTGACTCAGCACTGACAGATCAGGCTCCTGGGAGTCAGTGCCACACGTGGCTCTCCTCCAGCAGTCCTCTTATCCAAAAGCTCTAGAATATGAAGACAAGCTACTGATACGGATGTCTAGACAAGTCCCTTGGTAGCAACATCTAAACCCACACTGCTCCAGTGGATATTGGCCATTTCCTTTAAATACTTTTTTTTTGGAGTCACCTACACCTTCCAGGGTTTATGACACAAACTGTGATACTGCATTGGAGTTCACTTCCCATGCAGTGTCCTGCAGCCAGTCTGATCTTTGTCCAGTGTGTGCCAGGAGTGCAAATGCTGACATCTACTTAGTAATTATTATATACATGGCAATATCCCACCCATAATGGAGTAGTACTGTGGTTTGTACATCCAATATAAACTGATTTGGAGACACATGTTCCTTCATACATCCCTTGTAGCACAGATGAGCTGAGCATTCAGTAGATGGGAAAATCATGCTGCCCAGCAGTAGTTGCTGTGGATTTAGAATGTGAACTGTAAGGACTTAACCCTTCTGAGCATTGCATCCACCATACAACTAGTAGAAGTAATTGAGAGATAAAAGTGTGATTTGTTTTTCTCTTAGTATAGCAAACCCCTATTTGGTTGACATGCATGAGCAACCTTATGGTTCCAGGAGTAGAGGACTTAGACAGCCATTGAGCCTTTTCACTTTATTCTGAGAAACATGAAGTTCCTTGTCATGGCTGCTTCTAAATCCTCTCCCCACAGGTGAGGGGTAGCTCTGCTGAAGATCAGTCCTGCTTTATGGGGTACCCAGCTCAGTTAAAACTGACTGTAATACAAACTTCAGGAACTTTTCACTATTTCTGCAGAACGAGTTTGCTGGGGAAAGACGTGTGTCTAATGATGGTAATCTAAACCAAACAGTTACCTGCAGGCACTGTCTTCCCTTCATTACTTGTATTTACTTAAAATAAAGATTTTAAGACTCTTAACAGCTTAGGAGAAAACTGGTACTCCTTTTTAAAGCAGTTCAAGGAGACAAACCTCTACAAACAATTTGTTTTGGGGATTAATAGGGGCTTTTAGGCTATGGAAGCTAGCTGAGCATTGAAAATACAGCCTATATGCTGTGGATATTTATATGTACTGCCTTTGAAGACAAAAAAATGAGAAGTGACTTTTAAATGCTTCAATATTTTTTAACACGTACAATGATAAATTTAAGTACATCTTCTTTTGTGAATTATACTCCTTCCGTTAGGCATTTCAGGATCTGACAGTTTCACTTTAAACCTTCTCCAGGGTATTCAGAAGACTTGGATGGACATTTAGAAACTTGCTTCTGCAAGCACTTCTCTGTAGCTTGCTTTCATGCTGTGCTTATTTTCTCTCTTTTCTCTTTTAATCAGTCTTCCATACAAGTCAGTGCCATTCTCTGTTCTCACCAAGCTTTTTGAAAATGCTCGGGGTGTCATTGCTGCTTCTGAAATTTCGACAGATAGTTCCTCCCCAAAAACAAGCAGAAGTTTTGCCAGGCCCATTTTCTTCACACTTGCTGCTTTCTCTGAGAATGAAACCAATGCACTCCAAGATACTTCATCCTTAAAGTGTTAAAATCAGTGTTGCAGACTCAGAATATGTGGTAGCTTATGCCAGAATGGGTCCTTGCTCCATTACTTGCCATATGAATACAAATTTTATACATCTGCAATGAACTATTAAAAAAAAAAAAATAAAAAAATCTGCAGTTCTTGCATGAAGCTACTAGCTGATACCCCCTCATCTTTTGTTCTCTTCACTCCCTGCAGTGGTCTATGGTGGGTGTCATTAGCAGCCAAAAACTATGTAAACCCAGTGCTTTAAAATACATCATTGGGAGAATATTTTATTAGTTGGCTCGAAGTATGGGGAATGCGAATTAAAGTAACACATCAAAAAAAATTTTTTTTAGTAGTAGTTCTCTGAGCAGTGAAATTATGTTGACATCTTCTACCTATTTTCTCTTCAGTGAATTAGTTTCAGAAGTATATTGTGTCAAGTGTTTATACTGTTTTCTGTAACTTTCCCTTAAAAAGTAAACAGTCTAGAAAGAATCTGTAGTTCAAATGGCTCCTGAAGCCTTCCTGTGTTTCCCACTTTTCCTTACCCTCAGCTTGTGGCAGCTCAGAGTTCCCACAGTCAGGCCTTGGATAAAAGCCAGGCGGCTCCTGGGCTGCGTCAGCCTGCCGCACACCATTGCTCTCCCAAGAAACACACCAAACGCCTAAGAAATCATATTTTTTCACCCCTCTTCCAAGATGTGACATTTAGATCTTAATAAATTAGTGAAACACGCTTGGGTGATTGACCTTAGCGTTAAGCTCATAACACAGTGACTTTTGGGTGCTTTTAATGCTGGTGCAAGGCGATGCGACTATTGGGGCAGAGGGTAGGGCTGGTGGAAATAACAGGTAAGAATTTTCCTGTCTTTAAACTTGTGCTAAAGAAGCTACCTGTGGTGTAACTCCTTATGAATTAGTGTCTTCTGACTCTTTAGTGGAATTCCTCACCCACTCGGTCAGTCTTCAATTCTTTACTGTCAGTGGATGTACACTTATTTTTGCCTCCACCTGTCCTGCGCCCTCTCCCCACCCCCACGATGTGCTGTTTCTGAAATACTGGCTTTGGCTTGGTTCTCTGAATGTTTTGCAACTTGGATTGAGTATCTGGCTTTGGGCACCCTACTGACCATGGACTTCATCTACACTTAATGTTATGGTTCTTGGAGAGGGAAGTGGGTGGCAGTCTCATGCTGTTGGTGTAAAACTGTTTGTTTTTTTTTTTTTTCTTTCCTTTTCTTTTGAAAGTCTGGGAAGAAAGCTGTTAAAGCAGTCCTGTGGGTTTCGGCGGATGGACTCAGAGTTGTAGATGAGAAAACAAAGGTTAGATTTCCCTGAACAAGAATTCTAAATCTCTTTATAGTAATGTATGTGTTATAGCTTTAAATGGACAGCAATCTTTATGTTCATGCAAATGTTGATATTTGAAAGGAAGACTGAAGTGTGTAATTAGTTTAATGATTTCTTGCTTTGTAAACATATGTATGCCAGCTAATGTTTGTTGGTTTTTTTCCCCTAGTTAATTCCACATTACTCTCAAGACACATTGCATAAATTTGTCTTGGCAGGTAGCACAAGCTTGGAATATCTTTTTGTTGCATTTACCGGAAGAAACATTTTTTTCCCCTGATAAGTTCTGATGACATTGAACTTGTAGAGTCCCTTGACTTTGTTCTGCACCACTGCAGAAGGTTGCAATAGTAATACACGAGCAAGCTCATGTTAATCAATATTTTCATTGCATCCAAATCCTAGAATGGGTCTGAGTGTCCAAGAGCTAGCTTCCAAGAATCTAATCAAGGGAGCAAATGAAATAAGGGGGTTGTGCCTTCAGGCTTAAGCTAAACAGCAACTGAGTGTCAAATTTAATTTCTGATTCTAACACTTAAGTTGTTGGTCTGAAGTAGAAGACTAATATATTTGTAGCATCCTTAAAGATTGTTTTACTTTTTTTTTTTAACTGTGGAGTAGCACAGTATGTGCCACCATGGTGCCTGTGTGCAAGTAATAGCAAATGATTCTTGGTTTTTATCTAGATGTAGGCGATTAGAAACATGAGCTTTAGGCTTGCCTTTGTAAGCCTACTAGTATTTTAGTAGATGGCGTGGCTATCGGAACAAGTTTTACTCTCATTAGCCTGAAGTTAATTTGGTTTATATTTATGTCATTTAACCCTTAATTTGCTAGGTGATTTCTGCTAGCCAACACTGAGAAGCAGGTAGAGTTAATTCATATCCCACTGCAGCACGACTGCCTGTCAGATACCTGCTCTAGGGCAAGACTTCTCCAGGGCTGCTGTTATGGTATGGTTCATCAGCAGTGATGTTACTGTCTTTGAAGAATTCAGGTTCTAATACAAACATACAAGAGAATATCCTATTGCCTCCTGGTGGTTGAATACATTAGCACAGTTGCCAAGTATTAACCACCAACCAAAAGAAACAATTTAAAATAAAAGAGTGAAAAAAAAATTAATGAAATGGCTTAGTTCTTAAACTATACTATCTCCTTTTTAGAAACACTTCTCCCATCAAGCTATGGGAAGAAATCAGGGGTGTTTGATACTACCAGTGCTGCTGGTGCTGTTCCACTGCACCCCTGCTTAGCTAATTGGCAGATCAGCTTTTGCTTTTTGTGCAGAAGCTTCTAGACCTTTTCAGATTCGCAGACCTCTCCCTAAGTTTCATTGTTGTTTTAACCATGATAAAGATTTTTTTTTTTTGTTGCTGCTGTAAAAATAATGTAAAACAAAAATGTGAGCTCCACAGTCTAGAGGAGAGCTCTTGGGAATTGTTTGGCTCCCTAAATTCTTAAGTGGTGCCTTGGGACACTTCTGGTAAAGGTGGCTGGTGGAAAGAGTCATCCATCCATTTTGTTCCATACTGAGAGTAGATTCTGCATGGTGAATTCCTTGCCAGATAATTATAGTCTCTTCAGGTTATCCTTTTAGTAGAAGTCATCTTCTTGCGGCTAACACTGAAAATGATTTGTTCAAGTGTTTCTCCATATTTCCTCACATTTCTTTCACTGGGGGGGTGGATTTTTCTCCGCTCTAGGACCTTATAGTGGATCAGACAATAGAGAAGGTTTCTTTCTGCGCTCCGGACAGGAACTTTGACCGGGCGTTCTCGTACATCTGCCGGGACGGCACGACGAGGCGCTGGATCTGCCACTGCTTCATGGCTGTCAAGGACACGGTGAGCTTGACGTGGTGTCTCCCCATCTCTTCCAGCCTCTAGCTGGAAGTGATGCTCAGAAAAATTAACTACCTAGACTACTGCAATCTGTTTCGACTTCAGCTAAAATATTACTTAGTCCATGGAAATTATTTTAGTTCTAATTCTTTATATCTGAATTATTTGCTTATTTCTCTGTGGTGTCATCTTGTGGAGAGAAACGGTGCCCAGCATGTGTATAAAAGGAATGCAGTCAGCCTCAGATATCTCTAGCAGAAGGGAACTACTCTTCTAAAAATAGACAGAAGATATTCTCCTCTGAAAATGTATACAGCCAAAAACTGAAACGGCAATGACAGTTTTTCCAAGATAAAATCATAGTGAGTAAATACAGACTGGTTATGAATGCAGCCTCTTGTATGCGAATGTTGTTTCGAATGGAAAGTCATCTCAATGTAAAGGGATGGAGCTAAACTGAAATAAATTAGCATCTTGTTTGCTTCCAAGTGACAGAGATTTTTCCAGTAGAAGGTTTGCAAGTAAGTTACATCTATCAGTCTCTTGCTGTATGGATTTAAGTTATTTAACTCCCTGATGTGGCCTTTTCCTCTTTGTTTTTTGTTGAATCCTGCCTATATTGTACAAAGTGCTTGAAACCTCGTGCGAGTTCATTGCGTGAGCTCCACAGAGCTGCACGTTCAGAGCAGTTGTACTTGACAATTGATCATTCTTCTGTAAAGAGAAACAATGAAGTTAGAAATTCCCAGTTAAACTTAGGTTAGAGCTGGAGCATTTCTATTTTTCTCTGTGAATAACAGGTCAATTCACCTACTGATTATAATAGATGAGTTGAGCTCCTGGCAGTGCCTCTGACTCCAGTGTAGCTGCTGTGTCAGCTGGATTGCTGGACTTCCTCCGACTTGAATTTCGTCTCCTTTTTGCAGTTATTGGGCAGTGGATCCTTTTGACTTGCTTAATAATGGCAGTACTTTTCAGAAGCACTCTTAATGCTAACTCCTGCATTTGGTCAGGGCCATTAGGAGGTGTAAGTAGTCACCCCTGTACTCTTAATTTTCACACCTGCACACAATGGTAGCATATCCCTGAGCCCTGTATAAACTTTCTCCATCTGAAAGTAGCACTTACCTGTCCTGCAGGACTTACACCTACTTAAGATGGCTTCACAAGAGTTTCTTTGTGCACAAATGTATCCAGAGGCAAGGGATCAGTGCGGGCACGTTATCGCACCAGCATCTCAGTAGGAGCTGAACTAACCTGATGATCCAACAATCTCCTTCATTTCTGGGTGGCCTTCTTGAGCACTGCTCATGCATTAATCGTGGGGAGCCTTTACATACCAGGCTTAATTTTAGAGCCGTACAAAAGATGGCCAATTACAGGTGCTGTCTGTAACGCCTCGGTTAGCTTGCTGTGCCCAGGGCAGGCTGTCAGCTGGCAGTGCTGGGGGCACACCCACCTTTCTGCTGGGGTTACTCTCTGATGCCATGTTGTCTTGTGCAGGGGGAAAGGTTGAGCCACGCCGTGGGCTGTGCGTTTGCAGCGTGCCTGGAGCGAAAGCAGAAGCGAGAGAAGGAGTGTGGAGTGACTGCCACCTTTGATGCCAGCAGAACCACATTCACTAGAGAGGGATCATTCAGGGTCACTACAGCTACTGAACAAGCAGAGAGAGAGGAAAGTCTGAGACAGATGCCGGATGCTAAAGGTACGGGGTGCAGCTTAAACAATCAGCCATCATGAGCAAAACCAGGGCTGAGGGGAGCTGGGGCCTGTGCAAGGAGGGAGGCTCAGGGCCCTTGCAGCGTTCCCTCTCTTGGACCTGATGTTGTACAGATCAGATTCCCAGATGCTTGTCACTTCACTAGAGGAAAAACGCTCCCAGATTCACTCGGAAAGCGTTTTCCCACATCTCCTCCAGAAAAGGTACAAGTGGCTTCATATGGGAAAGCTGCTGCTGCGTTGTTTTGTCAGCCTGCTTTATGGCAGAGACCACTAACAGGACTTACTACAGAAATGTTACGAAAATATAACGGGTTTGTCAGACATGAAGTAATCTCTTTTTTTGTAGTCTAAAGCTTATGGTAAATGAACAAAAAATTGTGCATTTTTCTTTTAAAAAAATTTTTTTTAAGGTGGGTTATAAAGTGTATATATACAGTTGTGTTGTGTCTGGGAAGAACAGATCAATCACAGTGTGCTTTCTGAAAAGAAACAAACCAACAACCGTCTCCCCATGAAAACCACAACTGTTACACTGTTAATTACATTCAAAACTAGTAACTAACTGATTTGAGAGGAGTCAGTTTTTACTTCTTGGCCATTTAAGACATCTTTTAAAGAGTTAAGAAATTCAAGTGAAAGTAGAACTTCCTACTCAAGTAGTGGAGTTCTACAGCTAACAAAAAATGGGTATTATACATATTGTTCATAGCCCTCCTTACAGTGGAGCTGAACTTTTGTTTCAGAGGGTTCCACAGCAAGTTTTATTCTGCTACTTGATTGCAAAACTTTAATCTTCGTTTTCATCATCCATCTGCTTGTTCCCATACGTTAGTTTTAGAATGTGCTAAATGAAGCTTAAACACAAGCCCTTTGTTACTTGAGGGCATGAGTCAAAGTCTTGACTCAATGAAGGTGTGTGAAATCCTTTCCAAGAAAGACTGATTAGAAAAGTTTCACTTGAACGAGCAGCTGCAACTCATGGGTACTGAAGCTTGCAAGACAACATAATTAGTTCCTCCTACTATTCCAGCTTCTCAGAAATCTCTAGTGTGACTCCTCTCTTTACCAGACTTCTAGTTATTCTGTTGATGTGTCAACAAAAAAAATTATTTTTCCTAAAACATTTGGAAAGCAATATAGGTAAAATAAGAATTCACACTGGGACAGTGAGATTTCTCCTCCTGCTGTGGATGAGCTGTGTTTATTGCCCTCAAAGCCAATTCACTTATGAGTGAGAGTTTTCCTAGGGATGGAAAAATCCCCATTGCTGTTCTAATCATAAGAGTCATGATTTAAACTAGGCTTAATCCTGCACTTCTGCCATTAGGCCTGGTTGACAGAAGCATTGCAGAGCTGTGCAAAACCCTGCAAAATGAAGCAGCTGACTTTTAAGTTGGAGGAGCTTCCAGTGCGATTAACTAGTGATTGGGTGGTAACATTACAGTTAAATTCAGTTAAAGAGGTGGCACAGGAACTCCTTGTAAATGTGCCTGGTGTTAGCCAAGGCCTGTCAGCTCAGAGGCTGTGCCTTGCAGCTCACATCCATCTATCTGTCATGGATTTGCTGGAGGAGCTGGGGAGCTAAAGCCTGAGCACTGAGCGCAGCTCTGACCTGCTGCGTGCTGCTGCTGCTGCTGCCTTGGGCCTGCTGAAGCTTGTGCAGTGTGTTTGGCTACTGCTCTTCATTCTGCAGGGCTAAGAGAGCGGCTTTTAAAGGAAAATCCTAGAGCTGGGCTCTGTTCCCTGCTGCAGCTGAGCTGTGCCACCCTCTGTCACTGAATTGGTAGCAATATTTTGGCCATGGTTCTTTGTGAGGCAAAGTAAAGGTCTCGAAGGCACAACGTACTTTTCAGTCTTAATCGTAAATGCATTGCAGGTATTTCTAGAGCTGAGGGCTTGGGAGTAGCTGGAAGGAGCAGCTGTGTAAGCCATCATTTCTGTGGAGTGGATAGCCCCAGTAAGCTCTGCTTTGGAGATGGCACGTAAGTGAAGTGACATGGTGAAGACAGCTCAGGTGCACAGAAATGGTTTTTCTGCTGCGGTGTCAGAAACATGTTTGGAAAAGTACTGGTTTTGCAAATCCCTGCAATTTCCCTTTTCAAAACAAAGGGGAGTAGGGGCAAGCAGTTGAACACTACTTTGCTTTACTCTTCTAACCTCACCCTGTTTCCTCCAGCAGTTGAAACTGAAGTGAAAACAGTAGCACCAGGTGCTGCACCAAACAATACTGCCCCCTCTTCTGGCTCACCAACCTCTCCTACTGCTGAAGTTGCTGCCTCTCTGGATAAGGAAATGAGCAATCCCCACGCTATTCCACGGAGGCATGCCCCTATAGAACAGCTTGCCAGGCAAGGGTCTTTCAGGGGCTTCCCTGCCCTTAGCCAAAAGATGTCTCCTTTTAAACGCCAGTTGTCTTTGCGAATAAATGAGCTGCCTTCAACAGTGCAAAGGAAGACTGATTTCCCCATGAAAAACTCAGGTAAAATCAAATGGTTCCAGTTAAACATTTCCTTAAACTGTCTCTTCCTGCTTTCCTTCTCTGTGGCTTCAAACAACTCCTAATTTTCTAGTAAATCCTTCTTCCTGCCTTGTGTGGATCGTTTCTCATGAGCAAACATCACCCCATCAGAAAACTTCTGCTTTGGGAATAGGCAAGAATTTCAAACGCATTATTCACATGTAGAAGGCAAACAGTCCTAATCACCATCTGAAGTACTGGAGCACAGCTTGAGGTGCTCCAGGAATGGGTGTTGGTGAGTTAGTAGGTGCTGGCTCTTCCCTCTGAGTTGTCGAACCAGTTCCTCTACTTAGTGCCAGGGCATCTGGAGAGAGAAATCCCTTCAAGGTCTTACCCACTTGTCATGGGATTATGTGATGCTTTTCTGCAGTCTGTCCTCCTGCCTGTCCGAATTCTTTTTGTGAGCAATGCAATGGCTTTTCACCTTGCACTGAAGGCAGCTTTCCTGCTCAGGTGGTACAGCTGGCTGTATCAGCAATGTGTGGTACAGTTTCCAGATGATGGGAGTGGGGTTTTCGGGAGTCATCCCAATGTAAACACCTGGGGTACTCCATACCTTGAGTAATGTCCTAGAGTCAATCCCCATAGCCAGGTTATCCTGCAGGCCAGCTCTGCTCTCACGTGGCAGTGGGGCTAGTTTTAGGGTTCTAAACTTTTATGTAAAAAAAAAATTACTGTGGCAAAGGCAAAACTACAAAGTTACCTAGTCTGACTTCTCTTCTAAGCCTTATTTGGTGGCCTGTGCTTTAAGACCAGCACTGATTTTATCAGGTTTACAGTAATAATGCCCTGCTCACTAGTGATACTCACTGAGCACGCTACAGTCCAAGTGTTTCATGACTCAGAGCGTTTCTGATGCATGTTCCCATGTGTGCTGCTGCCAGTGCTGCTTACTGTCACACCACACGTGCTGTATTGGAATAGCCCGCAAAGAATCCATTTCTGGGCATGCCTCCCCCTGAATTGTAGACACGGTGCATGTTGTGTCCAGACATCTTATGCTTTTTATACCATTTGTGCTTAATTATCCCTGTTGTTATGCTTGACTATGCCAGTTCTGTGCAGCGAAGGACTGATGATCAGTACTTTTGAAAAGCAGTGTGATTAGTAATAATGAGAACATCTGGTAAGCTGGCAGTTTTACTCCAGATGTTAACTCTATCCACTTGGTTGAAAACTGAATGTCCATTTTATTTGAACATTCAGCTTTTGCTTTTCATAATTCTACCACAGGAGTGAGACATTTCAGCTACTGTTGAACTGGAGCAATCAGCATTCTAACTCTATAGACTTAACGTGCCCCCTCTGCGTTGCTGTCAGCACGTTTAAACTTCAGCTAGTTCCTGTGGCAGTGTGTTGTTGGAACACTTAATCTATCATAAGTATTTTCACTTCACAGGGTGCCAAATCTTAGTGCCAAACCCTTGATATGTTTAGCGCTTTAATACTGAAAGATTTAGATCTCTGCTAAAGCTATAGAAACCCCTTTTATTTTCTGAAAGGAACATCCTTTTGCATTAGCACAGGGAAACAGCAATAACTGACTTCAAATCTGGAACTTACTGCACTTAGTCACAGAGACACTGATGTGGTTGTTCTATTTCAGGTCAGGTCTTCCAACACCAATTTTTTTTTAAAAAAAAATCTGTTAGTGCCAATCAGTTGCAGGAACATCTAGGACATCAGGGAACTAATTCTATTTCAGTTTCACCCTGGTATTTCTAAATTGTTTGTGTCCTTTAAACTTCCAATTTAATGAGTTTTGTTTACATTTTTAGTCCCCGAGGTGGAGGGGGAAACGGACAGCATTAGTGCCCTGTGCTCTCAGATCACCAGTGCTTTCAGCACACCATCAGAGGATCCTTTCTCTTCAGCCCCCATGACCAAACCAGTGACAGTAGTCGCGCCGCAGTCTCCCGCCCTTCAAGGTTTGTGATTTTGCGTGCTGTGGTTGTGATGGATGAGGCTTGAATGCACATAATGTTGCTTTCCAGTAACACATGGTCTTAATTTCTTGTGCAAGTCCTGTTATCAGTATTTTGGGAGAATGGATCCTGCTTTATCCATCTTGTCTGTTTAGTTTTTCTGTGTTTTTATTTTTAACAAAAAGTTCATGCACCTACCACACGATAGTTACTTGTAAAAGGGACTGACTTTGAGGAATGGCTGTTTTAACATTCTGCCTCCTGAACTGCAAAAACCTTACCAACTGTGGGTCACAGGAACCAAATCCCACAAGGGAAGAGATTTTACACCACCACATGATTACTGTTTTTCACACAAACTCTTTAGATAAGCTGGGGAGAGATGCCAACTGTAGAACTCATAGCAGCCTCTAATCTTCGTTTCACTGATGTGCTTTTATACAAGTTGTGTGAAGAAAAAACCTCTCCTTGTTAAATGTAGTTATTGTTACTTTGCATCTTAAATCCATTATCTTTTGAATCTAATATTAATAGTACAGTAACTTTTGGTGAGCCATATCTCTTCTCTATAGAAACAACAAGTTTGACTTCAGGTGGTCATCAACACTCAAGGTCTCATCAACTACAAAAAAAAAAACAAACCAGTGTCCCACAATTCTGTTACCAAGCATTGGCTTGGTGAAATGGAATTTAGGAGTTTTGACTGTCAGTCCAATTTGGCTAATTTACACAAACTGCTGTCATGTGGAAGTGTCTAAAGTTGTTGTATGTTGATAGATATGACATGGCCCACTAATAATCCAGTCACGTGCATGCCTTGCATGAATTAATTGCACTGATGTTGTCTGCTCCCATTTTAGTTAATGGCACTGCCTCTGCCTTCTGTGTGCTTGCTGCTAAACCATCCCAGGCTGCTGTAGTGTCCACAGCTTTGCCAGTTCGTGAAACCAATCCTTGGGCTCATGCTCCTGCTGCTAGTACTGGAGCTGCAGCCGTGGTCACTGGTAAGACTGGAAGTAGGTCTGGTGCACTGCTATGAGAACTTGGATCAGAAGCATAATCGAGCCCTTGAGACAAGTGTCAATGCCCCTTAATGGCAAGTGGAAGGAAGAGTAACAAAAGCTGGAAGTAGTAGCCTTCTGCATGAGTGGATGGAGGGGAGCGATGAACTTGCTGGTTCTGGGTCTATAAGCTGCACTGATTCTTATTTGGGCAGCATTTTAGAGAAAAACAGTGCTTAAAAAGGAAGTAGTGAAACAGTGTGTGTTTGGGGATGCAGGGGAGAGAATCTGTGTGTATCCAAAACAATTGTTGTGTATTCTTTCCGCTGACTTAGGTAAGGAGAGATTAAGTGGGTTGCTTGAAGGCATTAGAGGTTAATTTCTTCTGTTTAGTAAGTTTAGTCTGTCCCTCCAGTCCTCTTCTGTAGTGATGCACAGTAAGTACCACAGTAAGGTGGTACTTTAGGTGGCTGTCACCTATGTGGACATGTGCTGGAAGGCTACAGTCAAACTAACGTTATTTCCTGGTGTAAGTTCAACTCAAGAAGAGAAACTTTGCTAGTGAAATAGTAGGTTCTACCCGGCCTTGTAAGAGTCAACAGACCCCAGTGAGACTTACCCCATGAGTCACTAAGCTCTGCCTCCAACAGTTCCCACTGTAAAAGCAACAGTAAACTGATCTTTAGCTGGTGTTGAACTAGATTAGCCTGGCTGGAGACTACTGAGCTGTAATGGTTTTCCACTTCTCCAAAACACCAGAGCCATCCCTAGCATTCCTGGTTGCTTTTCTTACCACACTGGAAACCTGTCAAGGCCCTATGGGATGGAAAGAGAATTTGAAATTGTAGGGAGGGAAAAATCCAGACCAGAATTCAGCTGGTGGGAGGTAGTTTTGAAACTGGGAGGAATGGAAATGATGGTAATTTTCTTTTTTAATTGCTGAAGATAAATGAGTTAAAATAAGAGCTGGTTTTATAGAAGAGAAGTCTATAAGAAGAAGAGTTATAGATGGAAAGAGTAAGGGAAGAGTGAGTGGAGATGGAGGAAGATTGTAAAGGAGTCGTAGTAAGTACAGTTTACATGTCATACAGTAATTTCATTAGACCTGTTGCCTTAAATGTTCATGTGTAGCAAACTAAGTACTCACACTTCAGTGTGCATGGGACAGAAAAATGAATGTTGTCTTGAAGTCCTAGTACCATAACATTACTGTCCTTTAGAGGGTAATGCCTTCATTTAGGGAACAGAGCAAATAAGGCTTAAAAACAGTTTTTTGTAGCTTTATGTTCTAAGAGTCCACCAGTTCTGAGCTCTGCGTTCAGACACTGGTTCTCCCCGGTCCAAGGATCTTAATTAGTGGTTACGGACTAGATCATGGCCACTACGTTATGAATGGAGGCAGCTGTCCTGGATGACCCAAAGTCTCAGAGGAAGAAAGAAAACTAAATCCGCATTTTAGTGAAGCAGGTCTTCTCTACCCCCTTCTTGACCAGTGTCTTCCTATAACTGAACAGTGCAGTGGATGCATAAAGATGCTTCCAGTGTTGGTAGCAGTCATTCAGCTGTGGAGGGGGGTGGCCTGTCTCCTCTTAGTACATCTTCCTAACTGATAAAGGATGAGGAGTGGAAGGACACGTGTGTGACTTCCCCATGCTTTCCTTCCCAGGCACCGAATGGAGCGGCACCTCCTCGGGTGCGGCCTCACCAAGTCTCTTCCAAGGAAACCACAGACGTACTCCCTCGGAGGCAGACCGCTGGTTGGAAGAGGTCTCAAAGACTGTCCGAGCCCAGCAGCAGCCAGCCCCGGCCC